ATATTTAACCCCTCTTTCTTCTTCTTTTAAACCTTGGAATCCATCCTTTATATATATATATTTTATTGATTTTTTTTTATAGATAGGGAGAGGGATAGAAAGCTAGAAACATCGATGAGAGAGAAACATTGATCAGCTGCCTCCTGCACACCTCCCACTGGGGATGTGCCTGCAACCAATGTACGTGCCCTTGACTGGAATCGAACCCGGGACCCTTCAGTCCGCAGGCTGATGCTCTATCCACTGAACCAAACCGGTTTGGGCCTAGTCCCTCTTTCTTTACTGGGCAGGGAGGGTAGAGGGACTTGAGTTGTGGCTAGCAGGCAGGGAAGCATTGGAGGGATGTACAGTACTTAGGTGGTGACAGCAGCAGAGAGGACTGGGAAAAATACCACTTCACTGAGAGGAGGGTTACAGAGTCACAAGCCTAAGGGGGAGGTGAGATGGTGCAGTCTTAAAAGCTTGGGCTCCCATGAATCCTGCGCCTGCTACTTACCAGCTGTGTAAAACAGTAGCTATTTCCAGCCTCAGTTTCCTCCTTTGTACAGGCAGAAATCACGATGGTTTCTTTATTTGGTTAAAGGGGTCAACTTATGTAGCATGCTTAATGCAGTGCTTGAACCCTAGTAAACTCTATAAATTTTGGCAGCTTAAAAAAAAAAAGGGAAGAAAAACCTCAGGCATTTATAGGATTGGAGATTTTGAAGAGTTGCATCAACAGATCCTAATAGTTACAGGGGACGGGAGTGCTGGGCAGTTAAGAGGGAGACAGGACAGGAGGGTGGCACTGGGCTGGGAGGAGCAGGAGATGCCAGTCTGTAGGGGAGATTAGCCAGGCTGTGGGCTCCTAGGAGAACGGGGTGGGAATTTCCAAGGACCATTTGTACTCACCAAGGAGTAGGAGGGGCGCCTAGCGGAGTGGGAAGTGTGTCTGCCTGAGGGTTTTGGCTGGGGCCGAGCGGCGAGAGGCTGAATGGGCGGCAGACTTCCAGAAGTGCAGACGGAGGAGACGGAGCAGTAATAATGACTTGGACACACGGGAGGAAAAAATAACTCAGGGACGAAGATGACGCCAAGGTTTCTGGCCTTGGGAGGCTCATGGGGATCTGAGGTGAGCACTGAGGGACGAAGAGGAAAGCTCCTGAAGGAATTGGCAGGTAGTGGGGGGAGGAAAGGAGTCAGGAACTAAAGAGTTGGGTGGATAACAGGGAAGGAGCAACGTCTCCGGGGGAGAACTGAGCATTCTGGGAATCAAGATGGCATTCATCCCAAAACACAAGACACAGAATTTAAGGAGATCCTAGGGCCATCCCTCAAGGCAGTAAGCACATGGACTTGGACCAGTAATACTGCCAACAACTCAGTTTTTCTCTCTTAAAATGGGTCTAATGATCCCAGCCCTCCTTACTTCATAGGGTTATTTTGTCATCCATTCAGTTAGCCATCCATTGAACCCACATTTCTGGGTTGTTTATTAGAGTCAAGCACTGTTTTAGCTTCTGGGGAAACAGTGCTGAATTGAGGAGACAAGATATCAATCCCTTTAGAGCTACCACTGTGGCTTGGGAAGTCAGGCAATAGTGATTTTTTTCAGCTGTTGAGCAGGCTTTTTCCTGTGGTCCTGAATTTTTGCTGAAGCCACAAGGGTAGAACAATAAGGACTAAATATCCCCACATTCAAAAGAGAGGTCCTTCACATTTTAGTAACAGCAGAACAAGTTCAACAACTATCAAGCCATAACCCTCAGTCTTGGATGAAAAGGATTGAAACAAGTATTGACATAGAGCCTGGCTGGCTTGGCTCAGTGGTTGAGTCTTGATGTATGAACCAGAAGGTCATGGTTCGATTCCTGCACATGCCTGGGTTGAGGGCTCGATTTTCCGTGTGGGGCACGCAGGAGGCAGCTAATCAATGATTCTCTCTCATTATAGATTTTTCTCTCTCTCCCTCTCACTTTCTCTCTGAAATCAATAAAAATCTATTTTTTTTTAAAAAAGTGTTGAGGTAGAGAACCCCCCAATGCAAATCAAGTAAAAAGGGCTCCAAGAGAACCAGTTGCAGAATTTGGGGGCCTTCAAGAAGAGGAAACCGGCACGATTCCCCATAGCTCCCCCCCCCCCCCCCCCCGCTGATGCTGGCTGAGTTAGTTGCTGGAAGCTGAGGCACCAAAGCACAGCAAGAACGTTGCTGGGAGAACCCAACATGTGCCTTTAGGATTTGGGGAGGAACGCAAATGAAGAGACTTGTGGATACTTCCTGTCTGGAGAGTTCAGACTGTGGAGCCTGGCTGGAGTGGCTTCTGTGGCCGAGGGAGGAGCAGCCAACTCGCCACTGGCTTATTGGCCTGGAACAGAAAGTCTGCGAGGGGCACAGGATACAGGGATCTGCCAGAGGCTGGCCAGAGAGGGTTTTGTTACAGCCGTGCAGGGTGGAGGTCTTGTAGGGGGCCTCCCAGGAATCCACAAATGTGCCTATGAAGGAGCCAGCCTGTGGCACCTGTGCCAGCCAAGGGCACCTGTCACATACTAGTAAGACTTTGCCATGTGTCCTCTGATACCTCTCCCCTGACCCTGACACTGAGGAGCCAGCCCCGAAAAGGTTGGTCAGAAAAACAGACCACACTCCACTCTCTCCGCTATCGGATCTCGAGCCAGGGGACAGTCCCATGGGGGGCAGGGATGAGTATTAAATTGGATTCTCGATTGATTAAACTGGATAAGGATTATTATTTTTTTTATTTGGACAGGACCAGAGTTTTTAGTGCCTGAAAAATTGGTCTTAATTATAGAAGCGAAACTGTTCTTGTGGCTGTTAGGGAAGGTCAAGCCAAAAAGCTCTGAGATTGAGGGTGGGGAAAAGAAATTCACCATCACATGGCTGAAGGCAACGAGGGGAGAAACACACTATGGCTGTTTCCTGATTATCCTTAAGACCCAATGTCTTCAGTCAGGTTCAGCCCATCCTATAAGCCAGCTATCCAAGTGAAGGAACAGATGAGATCATTTCGGCTAGTCATTAGAGCCACGAGAGCAAAATGGTGATGTGTTAGAAAGCGACGCCTTGGGAATGGGAGGGCTGCTGTAGGTTGCAGGGGGGTGGGGGTGGGGGTCGTCCAGGGATGGCCACTCCAGGAGGGGATGTTTGAGCTGAGAGACATGAGGAGGAGCTTCCTGTAAACATCCTGGAGAAGAGTGTTCCGGGGGCAGGGAGGTGGGCATTCACGTGGCTTATTCAAGGAGCGGAGAGGAGGCCAATGCAGCTGCCATGCTGTGCTGAGTGGTCCTGTCAGAGGTGAGACAGACCAGCTAGGGGGCCAGTCAGACAGGGCTTTGTAGGCCAAGGTCAGGAGTTGAGGGCGTATTCCAACGTTGGGTAGTAACTATGCCTGTCCCTTGTGTGGTGTGGGAAGTTGTGAACGGGTGCCCTCTTAAAAAAGAAAAAAAAAAAGAAAAAAAAAATATATATATATATATATATATTTTTTTTTTTTTTTTTTTTTTTACAGAGAGGAAGGGAGAGGGATAGAAAGTTAGAAATATCAATGAGAGGGAAACATGGATAAGCTGCCTCCTGCACGCCCCCCACTGGGGATGTGCCCGCAACCAAGGTACGTGCCCTTGAATGGAATCGAACCCCGGACCCTTCAGTCTGCAGGCCGGACGCTCTATCCACTGAGCCAAACCGGTTTTGGCACAGGTGCTCTCCTGATGCTTTGTCTCTCTAGAAAATAGTAGGCCTAGTAGGCTGCCAGGCCTTTAGACTTTAAGACAGGGGGCCAGGGGTGTGAGTGATGAGCTGATGGTCGGAGGCACTCAGATGGGTGGCAATTGGCATTCTTGCGTCCCTGTCCCCTCGCTGCCAGCGCAAGAAGATGTGAGCACCAGATCAATCAGAAGCAAATTAAATCCCTCTCGGGTGAAATTCCTGAGGGAGGGATGGACTTCTGAGCCCAGGCAGCAAGCCAGGGTTTCATTCCCTTCTCGCTGTCTTCTTGAATGACCTTCCTTATTCCAGATCTTACAAGTCTACCCTCTGTGAAAAAGGAGAACACTACTTCTAGGACCTGCCACCAGGCTTGACCTTGACTCAACAGAAAAGGGACAGGAATAGGGAGCCAAGGTGTCTGGCAGCCACAGGTACTCTCTAAGCGGCAGGATGGCCAAGGACGCGGCCAACTCCACTAGAGGGCGCGCGCCTCCCCAGGCGACCTTCCATCGCTCGCCCGCGCCGTCCGAGCTCTAGCCCGCACCCCGGCGGACGCCCCCCAGTGGCCGGGGCGAGAAGCGAAGGGCCGGGACGTCGGTCCCTATAGTCCTGATTCTGTCACGCCATTCTTGGTTCCTCTCCCGGTCGGTCTCCTTCAGGCCCCCGAGGCTGCAGCCTTGGCCATCCAACCCAGAGTCTGTCTCTGAGGGCAGGGGTTGGAGATGAATTCGGGGCAGGTCAGCATCTCGAGCTCGCCCAGGACACGAGCAAAGGTGGCTCCGGTGCCGCTGTTCCTGCAGGCGGCACCTCCCTCCCGGACCAGCCCTCGGGTCAGCCCCGAGCCACCCCCAGCTACTCACGGGTTAACCCCCCTCGCCGCCCGCTCGCTCCGCGGTGCCAAAGTGGGTGTTGCTGGAATTCCTCTCTCCCTCTCCCGTAATGAGGGGGGCTGAGCTGTCCCTCCGAGGAGGGGGCATGGTGTGGATAAAAGAGACGAAACACCAGGGAGAGGTTTCCAAAAATAAAAGCCTTCCCGTTCAGGCTGCAGCAAGAGGGAGAAGGCGCGAAGGCGCAGCAGCCGCCGTGCGCTTCCAGCCGGGGGACGCGGCGCGGACGCGGGGCGCAGGGCGCACAGCCCGGGCCGCCCTCCCGCCCTCTCGGGGGGGCCCCAGACGAAGAGAAGCGGGCCGCCCGGAGGGGACCCCACCGCAGCCCGCCGGCGCCCCGGGGAACCGGCCGCCAGCCCCGGACCAGCCCCGCGCGCACGGCTCTCCTCTCCGGTGGCCCCGGCGCCATGCGGCCGCCGGCCCCGGCCCCCTGCCCCGCGCGCCCCCGGGGGAACCCCTGGAGGAGCCTCCTGCCGCTCGCCCTGGCGCTCTTCGCGGGCGTGGGGCGCGCTCAGAGGGACCCGGCGGGACGATTCGCGCCGGTCGGCAGGGACGCGAGCCGGCTGTGGCGCCCGGGGGGCGGCCACCACGCCGCGGCCGCAGCCAAGGTGTACAGTCTGTTCCGGGAGCAGGACGCGCCCGGCCCGGGCTCACCGCCCTCGGAGCCGGCCCAGCCCGCCTGGGGGAGCCCCTGGAGGCCCGCCGAGACCCAGGCCAGGAGGCCGCCCCGAGCGCAGCAGCCGCCGCGGGCCCGGCCACCTGCGCAGCCCGGGAGGAGCGGCCGCCGGGGCCAGCCGCAGCCCGCAGCCCGGGCGAGGGCGGCCGCGGCTCCCCCGCGCCTCTGGACCCCGCAGCGACCCCGGGCTGCGCCCCCGACCCCGCCACGAGGGCGGCCCACGGGGTGAGCACCAGAGGAGAGCGTGGGGGTGGGGGGGCTGGGGCTGTGCGCGCATTCCTGGGGGGATGTGCAGGCGAGAGGAGGGGGTGCCGGGCCCTGCTTCCCCGTCCCTCTGGCCTCAGAGCTGCGGTTGAGCCAGCACGAGCCGGGGCCTGGAGTCTGACCCACTTTCAAAAAGTTGGGGGGGAAAGAGAAACGCCGTCCTCACTCTTGGGTACCAGTTTCTCCGACACCCGACGTTACATCCTTTCCTGATGCGCCTCTTCCCTGGCCCGCCCTCAGCCAGCCTGTGCTGCTGGGGTCCGAGAAGGAACCGGGCAGGAGAAGCGGAGGGGGTGTCCCAGGTGCTTCAGATCCAGGGAGGACGCGGGTGTGTGTGTGTGTGTGTGTGTGTGTGTGTGTGTGTGTGTGTGTGGGCACAGAGCGCAGGTGGGTGGAGGATATTGGGGGGAGGGCGCCTCCAGAGTGGGAAGACAGATGCGTCTCTGCGAAGGGGGCTGGCCGCGAAACCCGCGCACGGGGACGCAGGTTTGGGTTGAGCGCAGATTGGCCCGGGCACACGGCTGGTTGGTCGCGGGGATGGGCGTTGGCTCGGGAGCACTTTGGACCTGTGGGGACCGGTCTGTGTGTCTGCCTGTGCTGCTAAGCGTCTTTGCAGGGCTAAGGTTCTTCCCAACCCAGTGATGTACGGTTTCCCCTCTCCCCAGGCGCCACCCACCCACTGCCCGCCGGGGGGCGCCCTCGCAGCGTGGGGCGGCTCCTCAGTCCGGGGTCCTCCTGGCTGCCAGGCGCTGTGGGTGTATCAGGTGTCTCCAGAACGGAGGGCAGAAAGCCTTGGGCGCTGCGGGGCTGGTGGGGAGGAACCCTGGCAGCCCTTTGGCCTGGGCCCGATGGACCCATGGGTGTAGTCCTGGTGCACAGCAGGGAGGGCTGGTACCCCCAGTTCTATCCCCAGGACCTTCCGAGGGCCTTTGCACGGGCTGTTTTCCTTGGCTGCACACTTCTCCCAGGCTTCAGCAGGACTCCCTTGCTTCTTTCAGATCTCTGCTCTCCTCCTGCCCCCCTCCACTCTCTCCCTTCGCCCTGCTTTATGTTTCTTCATAGCAGGTAGTCTCCTGTGACATATTATGTATCTGTTTGTGTTTCGTGCCAATGTCAGTTCTATGAACACAGGCTTTGTTTGGTTGTGGCCATTGCCTAGACGCGTGCTGGGTGTATGCAGTGCTCATTAAGTGCCTGCTGAATGAGTGAGTGATCTCTCTGCTGCCCGAGGAAGGCCAAGTTTAAAGCAGGCGGGCAGCAGACCCACGGCTGCCAAGTCACTCATACACAGAATCCGTCAGCGATGGCTAATGAAGCACCGACCGTGTTTCCGTTGCTGTTTTTTTTTTTTTTTTTTTTTTTTTTTCCTTTCCTGACCTGTGCAAGTGACTACATGCTGCCTAAAAGCAAGGGTGGGGAGCATAGGGTAGGGCAGTGGTCGGCAAACTCACTAGTCAACAGAGCCAAATAGAAACAAGACAACGATTGAAAATTCCTTTTGAGAGCCAAATTTTTTAAACTTAAACTTCTTCAACATAGACTCGCCCAGGCCGTGGAATTTTGCCGAAGAGCCACACTCAAGGGGCCAAAGAGCCGCATGTGGCTCACGAGCCGCAGTTTGCCGACCACGGGGACGGGGGATGGGTTCCAGAGAAAAAGGCATTGTTCCTGCTGGGGGAGCAACTCGATTCCTTATAATCAGTTGGAGAAATGGGCAGATATGTGCCAGGAATGTGCTTTCTAATACCAGAAGCTTCGTGCTGAGTATAAAGGAATGGGACAGTGGTGACTGGGGAGCTCAGAGGACAAGGAGGCCCTGTGAACTGGAGTCCCTGGTGCTCGATGGGCAGCGGGTAGGGAGGCAGAGGGGAGGTGCCAGGAGTAGGGCCTAGAGGTGAAGCTCTGCCCCAAAACAAGGGCCTCTCACCGTTGGCATTGGCCTAGAGGCAGGACTGCAGTGGAGCCAGGGGCTGAGGCTGGGAGCTTAGGTTAGGCCAGATCATGGAGGAGCTTATACTACAGGCATTTAGGTGAGGGTTAGGGGGAAAGTGGGGTAGCAGAGGGTAGGGGCAGGAGGGTGAGGCAGTGATGAGCAAAGCAGATGGTTACCTCACTAAGGCTGTGCACAGATGTGCACAGATGTGTAAGAACGTGGGGCTGGGTGCCATCCACAGGCACCTGCTGTATGCAGATGGAGACAGGATATCGCATGTTGGGTTTGGCTCCTTCCCCGGATTATTTTCTGCAGCTTTGATAAAGGGTGAGCTCCTCTGGCACTCCAGCCAGCCACTCCAAGTCAGCTGGGGGGTGGGGTTGGTTGAGTGGCAGTCTTGTTAATGGGCTTTGTCTACCCAGGTCTATTCTGGTTAATGGCTCCTGGACAGGCTGACTGCTCTAGCAATTTCTTGTGGGCTCCTTAGGGCCAAGGATCAAGTGCCACCTGCTGGTGGAGATTGGAATAACATTACTATTGCTGGGGATTGATCATTCATTCATTCATTCATTCAACAAATATTTGGAAGTCCTCCTCTCTGCCAGGACTGTGCTGGATGGTGGGGATACAGCAATGGCCAATACAGCCTTTGTCTTCATGGAACTTGCAATGTAATGAGGATTTATTACCACAGCAAGGCAGGGCAGACACAATTCCTGCACTAATGAAACTTTCAGACTACAGGGGATTTTTGAAGCCATTGTTTCTCAACATTCAGAGTTTCGTGAACTAGCCTCAAGGCATAGTGCCTTCATAATATTTTCCTCTTTTATCACTTGCTTTATTATTTCTCTTTAAATTTATAGACTGTTAAAATAACAGGATTTTGTGTTTTACTTAATTTAAAGTATTTTATATTATGAAATTTTGTACAGACACACAAAAAGGTGTTAGATATAGCTCACAACCTAGCTTTATCGAACCTTAATATTTTGGCACAGTTTGCTTCTGATTTTTTTTTAGTTGCCATTTCTTCTATAAATTTGCCTCCAGCTCTACCCTAAAGTTACTTATGATTCCAATGTACGTTTTTGTACTATTACTGCAGATGCATGCATCCACAAAATAACAATTTCTTTTGCATATTTGAAACATAGATAAGTGATGCCAGGCTGTATCATCCTTCTGCAAGTTGCTTCCCTCCTCCTCATTAGAGTTTTGAGATTTAAACATGTTAATATAATTAACCCAAGTTTATATTCATTTGAACTGTTGTATATTATTCCACTGTCTGAATATACCACAGTTTATTTATCCATTCTCCTAGTTTTGGGACATTTAGATGAGTTACACTTTTTTTTTTCTATTACAAACAATGATTGCCTCATTTTTCTACATAAATAAATTCATTTTCAAGGAAAATTGGTATCACTATCATACGTTGAAAATAATACCACTCGTCACAAAGAGAAGATAACTGTAGGAAAATTGAAATGAAAATAAAATGTTCTCATATTCTAGTCAGACATCATTATCTTAAGAAGCTCAACCCGGTGGTGTGTTCTCCCTGTTAAAAGGGGGAGAGGCAAGTGTTGGGGGAAGGACTCAGCCTGAGGCAGATTTTTTTCACTGACCCAATCAGGCTAGAAAAACACTGAAATGGGAATCACTTTCTCACCGTGTGACTCAGAATTGTTGAATGCTGTGATTGTGGAAACCTAACACTCACTTCCTTGCCCTCAGTATTACTCTTCTGCTTTTTTGGGAAACACTAGAAGAACTGAAACAAAGAAGTATTAGATATATCGCACGTGCCAGGCACTGTGTTAGACTCCAGAAGCACAAAGAGGAATAAGAAAGAGCCCTCAAGGTAGTCAAATAAAACCAACATCCTGAGACAATCAGTACTTAAAGAGCACAGCAAACGGGGAATGGGGAAGGCTGGGTAGATGTCCGGGGAGGTTTCACACAAAGGAGGTAACATTTGATTTGGAAGTCTTGGAGTGCAAAGGACTTTAATTGCCAAAGGAGAGAAGGAAGGCATTCTAGGCAGAGAGCTGCTTAAACAAAGGCATCAAAATGTGACCACAGAGAGTGCAATTGGCAGATGATAGTCTTTATGTCCTGGGAGGATCACAGCCTTGGTTATGGGTGTCATGGAGACAAGGGAGAGGTGATGGAGACAATTAGACTGCAGAGGCAGGTGCGGGCCTGGTGAGCTTTGTAGAGGCCAATAGAGAAGTATGGGAGGTTTTCAACAAAGGATTAGTCTGGTCAGATTTGTTCCAGGTGGAACAGCAACAGTCCCAAGCTGTAGCCAGAAGTGCCCCTGAGTGTTGAGCAGTGATGCTGCATGTTGGGCTAATGTTTGCAGAGTGGTGTCACCTGGAAGGTTGGGCTCTTAAGGGGGACTTTCCGGGAAGTCAGACCACTGAGTCATATACTCCAGCTAGTCAGGCTCATTTGCTCTCACTAGCTGGGCAGAGCCCACTGAATGGCCACCTCCCTGGGCCTCTACTCAAGACTCCAATCCCGGCCTATAAAGGACATGCAGAGGCCCTCATGGAGAGCCCAAGTCCTTCTTGAGTAGGATTTCAGTCTCAAACTGCTCCTCCCATCCCCACTGCCTGGCAGCTTTTGATTCTGGAACCCTCCCGATGGCCCTGAGGGTCCCACCATAGGCAGGCAAGGGAGGCTCCGCTGCTGCCTACAGTCAGCTGCAAAGCCATCCTGAGGTGACAGCTGGCTTAGTCAGGGCTCCATGCCCAGCCAGGCAGGCCTCTCAGTTCATGCTATCTGGGCTCCCAGAGGCCCTAGTTCTTAGAAAACTCCCAGGAGTGCAGTCAGTTTCCTTTTAAAGACGTACTGGGCCTTTTGAAGGCATCCTGGGCACATTAGCCCAACAAGGGGTGATGACTTACCAATTGGGTTGTAGCTGCCCCCTTTACCAGGGCACACATTCAGAAACCCTGGGTATGAGAACTAGTCCCCTCCTCAGAACCCGGTGCCTGGGCCCTGATGGCGAGGAGGCCATCATGGAGCCAGGAAGCTGCCCAAGGCTTCGAGGTGGCCGGAATGGCACAGCCCTTGGCTGGAGGCACATTCTGGGAGCTCCCTGGAGGTTGGGCCAAAGGGCCAGGAAAGAACCTCAGCTTTTCCAAGCTGCAGGAATTTATTTTGAATATTTTGGAAGGTTCCAAAACCACACAGCCTTGGGGTCCACTCAAATGTCAAACAAATTTCTAAGTGGGAGCAGATGCTCACTATGCTGGCCAAGAGGTCACAGGGACGGCCCCCTGCTCTGTCCCTCGCTTTGACTCTCCAGCTCTGTGCCTTGGCCACCGTGCTCACCCCGAGTTTCAGTGAGTGCTCGGTAGACGATTTCTGATGCTAATGATGGGGTCCAGGAAGCCAGGCCCAGGCCCAGGCCCAGGCCCAGCCTGAGCCAAGCAGGCAGGCTCTCAGAGGTCTTCCCTCTAGGGAAATCACTTAGATCCAGGCATTTGGATCTTTAGATGGAGAGTCAGGGCTGGTGACAGCTGCTGGTGCTGCAGGGGGGCCTTAACTAAAAGCACAGCTTCGGTGAGTTGGGTGAGTGTCCCAGTGGTTAGTGCAGGCCAGTGTTTCCTATGGGTGGCCCCAGGGCCAGCACCAAAGAGGAGCTGGGAGAAGGACAGTGTCCCCTAAAGTAAGTTCCATCGGCCTGCCCAAGTTGAAACAGAGGGCTCCTTAAGCAGAGGCTGCTTACCCCAGGTCCCCAGCCCCACCTTCCTAGCAGCTGGCCCCCTCACGAGTCCTGCTGAAATAGAATTGCTAGGACCCGGGGCTCAGCCTTACTGTGTAAGCCTGCCGATGGGCCAAGGCTCCTCCCAGTGTGCATGTGTGAGCGGGTGATGCACATGTATGTCCTTCAGACAGTTTTATGTGTGTCTTCCTGTTCCCCTTGGGCTGTCAGCATTTTCTGGGCAGGGACTGTGGTGCTTATTTTTTGGTGAGAGGCCAAGGGACGTCGGAGCGTGACTTAGAGTTGGGCCCGCTCAGGTTTGAACCTGGCTCTGGCTCTCACTGATTGGTTAGCCCTGGCAGGTGACCGAACCTCTCTGGACTTGCTTTTTGGTCATCGTCATGATCACTCTCATTGTTGACCCAGTGGGCTCCGGATTGTACAGATAGAGAGAGTGAGGGTCCCCAAAGTCATGCAGAGAATGACAGTCGGGATTTCACATTAGATCTGCAGGATCCCGAAGAGCTTGCCCCAGGCCAGCCGGCCCCCCTTGGTATGGGGGGCAGTCTGCACAGCGTGATGGGGTTCTGCAGGGGGCTGGAGCAAGAGAGGGGCTGTGGGAATGGTCCTCTCTGAGCATCCTTACACCTGACCTCGTGTTGGTAACTCCACAGGAGGAACGTCTGCGGGGGAAAGTGCTGCCCGGGATGGACAACAGCAAACAGCACCAACCACTGCATCAAACGTGAGTGCCTCCTCCCCACCTGCCCTTCTCCTTCTCTCTCCTTCGAGCAATGGGGGCGCCAGACCTGGAGTGTCTCCCCAATGAAGCTCTTATCAGGGAGTAGAGGCAACGTGCCCTGGAAGGGAGGAGATTATAAAATGCCTCAGACCGAAAACAACTTCTCAAATTAAAGCCCCATTTATGTTTTTTAAGCTTCCTATATTTTCTTCCTGCTGTCCCGCTGTGTGGGTCTCGCTTGCAGTGCCAGCAAGGTTCCTGAAGTGCCCACCCCCTGTGGTTGTAGGAGGTGGCTGGCCCCAGAACCTCTGAATTGCACATTTCCCGGGCACCATGCACGCTGTGTCCTATGGGAATCCACCCTCTGGTCCTGGCCTCTGTCTGGCATCCCGCCAGGATGGTCTGATGCAGCTCTGATCCCGTGTCTGGAGCAGCCTTCCTTTGGACTGCTCTGAACCTCGCAGGCTGGCTCAGGTGAAAGAAAAGAAAAGAGAGTAGTCTTCTTAGTTAGGTGGGAACCAGGGAGTGAGGCAGGAGGAGCCAGGCAGTCTGCACCCAAGCCTCCACTGATGGTGTCAGAGGCAGTAACAAGGGCAAGAGCCAATACCCAGGCAGTTCTCACTATGTGTGTGGTGCACTTACAGTCCCTGTGGTAGGTGGTACCATTAGGCACATGAGAAAACTGAGGCATAGACGTTACTTGTTCAAGGTCACATGACCAGGAAACAGTAGAATTTGAACTCAGGTGACTTGACTCCAGGGTCACTTTTCTTAAAAAAAATAATTATTTTTATTGATTTCAGAGAGGAAGGGAGAAGGAGAGAGAGAAGAGATAGATAGATAGAGAGAAACATCAATGATGAGAGAGAATCATTGATCAGCTGCCTATTGCTTGCCCCACTGTGGGGATTGAGCCGGCAATCTGAGCATGTGCCCTGACCGGGAATGGAACCATGAACTTCTGGTTTATAGGTCCACAATCAACCACTGAACCATGCCAGCTAGGCCAGGGTCCCTTTTCTTAATCACTACACCCTCCTGGCAAAATATCTTACTTTCTGGGCCTCACTTTCTACATCTGTGTGGGGAAGACAGTAAACTATTACTGCCATGACTGCCACTGCCACCACCATCACTGCTGCGATTACAACCACTGCTACCACTACTACCGCTGTTACTCTCACAACTGCTACCACTCCTGCTGCTACTACTACTAAACTACTAGCTAATAGCTTGGGATTTACTATGTTCCCAGCACTGTGCTGAGCTCTTCACATATATTATTTTAATTAAGCCACTCAAGTTATTTGGAAAACATGGCCAAGGATATTCTACCCCAAGCGTTGGAGCGAGGGCTGGATCCAGGCAGTCTGACTCCAAAACCCCACACTCTTCTTTACGAGATGTTGTTCCCTCTGAACACCAACTGAGGCTGGGGCCTCCTGGAGTTTGCAATCCCCACATGTAATGACGGATGTGTGGGTTTCAGGAAGCCCCTGGGATCTTTCTCTCTCACACCCAAGGCCCCTCATAAGCTCTCATCAGCTCCCCACCTCTGAATGGCATTTCTAGGATCTCTCCGCAACTATCCCTCCTGGAGCTGCCACCAGCAGGCCCTAAACTTGGCCGCAGGGCCTCAGGCTCACCAGCACCCCTTCCTGCCCAATAACAAACCCCCAGGCCCTTTGCAGTGTGAGGGGATCCAAGTGCCTAACAAAACTTAGGGTATTCCCAGGCCTGATGGAGGCCCTCATCTCTGGTTCTCATGCCCCCCTCCTCCCTCCACCCCAAGGTGGGGATGAGACAGCGACAAGATGGGGCTGCTTCCACCCTGTGGGGATGGGGATGCTGGCTGGCTAAGCTCTTGGTTCTGTCTCTGACCTCATGGCCTTGAACTCTCCCAGTCAGACAATGATGCTCAGGCAGAATCTTGGGCCTCTCTAAGGATCTGCAGATAAAAATCAAAATCCCAAATTCAAAAACAAGCAGTAAGACACATTGTCTTCCTGGAAATTCCTGCCTTTTTGAGGACCCTGGATTAGTGTGGGCTCTCAGAGGACAGGCTGTCTGTGGCTGGGGCAGAGGGGTACCTCGTAATTTTAAAGATGAAGACAGTGAGACGCAGAGAAGTGGTGACTAGCTCGAGGGCATATACTTCATTAGAGGAGGATCTAAGACTCAAAAATCAGTGCCTTTCCTGGGCAGAGAAGCCAGGGGTGTGTGTAGCAGGTAGTTTTATGCTCAGCAGAAGCTCTGGTTTTTTGGTATTTTTTTTTTTAAAGCACCCCAGGTGATTCAAGCCAGAGCTGAAGACACTGAGAGTTTGGGGTTACTCATAGGAGTATCTGCCTTGGCAGCGGGGGGTGGTGGTGATGGGGGGGATGGTGATGGAAACAACTCAAATTTGATTGTTCCCCTGAATCCTCTGGGATCTTATTAAAGTGCAGATTCTGATTCAGCACATCAGGCAGGGCTGAGAGTCTGTGCTTCTAACAGTTCCCAGGGGATGCTGCTGCTGCTGGTCCAGAGACCACACTTTGAGTGGCTGGGCCTTGGGAGACTCGGGAGGCCTTGGAAGGGCCTGGGGTCAGAGTTGGGAGGAGGGCTGGAAGGCTTCAGCCAGCTTCGCAGAGTGCTGCTGAGGCTTGGGTTGAGGTTGGAGCAGAGTGGCTCCAGAGGGGGTGGGCTTCTCACCAGCTGCCCGAGGGCCTTGCTCTGCCCTCCCGTCCCCGGGGTTCTCAGTTTCCCGACTTGCACGTGATTTTCCAGCATTCGCCTCTGCCAAACTGGAGTTTCAACATTGGAAACTCCAAGTTGGGTGAGTCTGCAGATTGTCAGAACCAACGTGTGTACACCCTCGTGCCCCAGCGGGGGGCTGCCCCAGAATGCTGCCACTCCCCACTCCCCGCTGGGGGGTCCTCAGCTCCTGTTACTTCCCTCCCGGACCCTCCCATTCCGCAGCTCCCTGGCCACCCCCTGAACCACGCACACAGGCTGGCACTTCTCCGGGAGGAATTGCCAGTGGGCGTCAGACTTTCCCACGTGAAGTCGGCTTGTCCACTGAAGGCCTGTGTGCTAATTAGCTGGGCCCTGTGCTGCTTGCTTGTTGCTGCTTCTCTGCTAATGAGCCTAACGAGGACCACGTGGCCAATGGGCGTTGACTTTGTACAACTGGGTCCTGGCTCTGTAGAATGCAGGGCTCTTGGCTGCACACCCTGTCAGCTGGCTCTCCTACCTCCCCCAACGGTGTGCCGGCTCCCTCTCCCCTCCCCACAGCTGCCCCCTGGCTGGAGCAGAGACTGCCGGGGAATTCTCACGACTGTCCCAGGAGTTTCACATGTGTGGGGCGAGTCCTTGGACAGCAGGTGGGAGGGCTGACAAGGACAGGTGTGTGACATCCTGCCAGCCCCCAAACCGCGTGGAGACTCAGTCTGTCCTCTGGCGTTTCTCAGAGATATCTGTGGGTCCAACTACTGCCTACGCACAGGGGATGATGGCCCGAGCCCCTGGGGCCACTTCCTGCTGCCTCTTGCCTCCTCCCACAGAGTCTGAAGTTGCTGTAACATACCAGCCCACCTCCCTGGAGGGCCCCTTCCGTCCCCCCTACCCAGTCACTGGACTTTGGGGAGCCACTGTATCTGTAGGTAGCCATTGCTGGAGCCACAGCTATTCCCTCCACCTTGGCGGAGTCCTCTCTCCTCCTCTCACTTTGGTATCTACCTGTCCTTCTGTGGCTTTGCCCTCTCTGCCGTGCGGTTTATGTATTTATGCATTTATGGAGGGTGAGGACTGGGGCCTACTGGCCCACACAACTGAGGGGAAGGACTGTAGACTGGGGTGAGTGGGTCCTGTGTATAATTAGGGCTTTTGGAAGATTGTCCAGTCTTCATCACAACCCCAACACACACACACACACACACACACACACACACACACACACACACACACACTGGGAAGAGGATTTGAAGAAATCCTTAAATCCTCATTTATCTCAGCCTACTGCCCAGGGCAGGGGCTGTTCCAGGGGTGGGAAGGCAGAGGGAGTCCCAGTTGCTGAGGAGGGGCCTAGGTGGGTCACTCCTTCCAAACCCCAGGTTTAATATGAAGAGCATGTGCTTCAAATTCTGGTGCCAGATCCAAGGAGGGGTGGGTTTGAACCCCAACTCTGTCCTCAGGCGAGTGGCTGACCCTCTTTTGCCAAAGAGCCTCCTCCACACGATGGGTATAGTAACCTATATATGGAGTTGTTTTGGGGAGATTATTAATAGTAATAATAATTATTGTTATTATAGCTCTGTAGCTCTTAGCGTGGGCCAGGACTTAGTGCTATTCATTTTTAGTCCTCACAACAACCTTATAAACTAGATTTGATCTTTGTTCCCATTTACCTTTGAGGTTAGGTATTTGTCCCAGCCTGGCAGCTGGTAACCAACAGAGCCTGGAAGTTTAGCTGTTGTCTTCATCTGGATCCGGGAGACTGTGCTGCCGGTCTGGGTTTACGTAGCTACGTGACTACAGGCAAGATGCTTAAGCTCTCTGTGCCTCCGTTTCTCCCCTGTGTCTCTGCCTCACATAGTTGTAAGGAACGAACAAGGTAACTCACGCCAAATGTTCAGTTCAAGGCCTAGCATGTTCTCTGTGCTCCGCATTTGGCTTTGATGTTGACAACAGGACTGTGTCTCCTGGCCCCCAGCATGCCACTCGGTAGCCAGTGTTCACTGGACACAAAGTCAAAGCCCAGTAAGTATGTACTGAGTAATACAGGGCCTCGCCTGGGTCTGTGCTGAGGCTGTTCTAGCCCTTCTGTAGCCCAGTCTGTCAGCCCTGCCAGAACACTCTCACGGGCTCAGGAGCCCCTCGGGAGATCCTGGAATGGCCTGGGCACTTGCTCCTGCCTCCTTGGTCCAGAGCCTCTGCGTGAATCTCATTCTGGTCCACATCCCAGAGCTTCCTGAGCCCACCTATCCAAGCCCTATAATGACCTCAACCTAACAGTTAAAAAC